CAAACTCGCTCTCTCCGAGTTTGCTGCAACAACAATTGCACGCAGTTTGCCAAACAAAATTTCTGCATAACACCAACCTTACGAGGAAAAGTTGGCAATATTGCCACGTCTCACACGCTCTTAATTCTACAGGCTTTGCATAAAAGCAAGCACTTTACGGAACAACGGTGCTCATAAGCATACGTTCTCATGAACCAAAAATACAAGATCACGTAAGAACGCGACGTTGTATTTGTAACTGGTTTTGAGAAAAAAGTTTGCGAAAGCGGGTTCGTCAGCTGAGCGTTTGTTTACATCGCAAGCACCACTATTTTACACTTCATCATTTTACCTAAATTGTGTGTGTTCCTTGGTGTTAATGGCGCTAGCGCTATTCATATGATGGTGTTGGCGCAGCAGCTCACCTACAGTATTAACGTAAAGCGCTGCGTAGCGCAGTATTACCAATGCCTAGAACTTTAGTGCTAAAATTAGTGTGGCATCACTCAAAGTTGTGGATTCTATTTTTGACAAATAATACCGCTGGCAATGCTTGCTAACGATTTGCTTGAGCCAGTGTCGTGTGGATTAATTTTTATCGTGATATTTGGTAAATAGTTATTTTATTTAGGAAAGTCATTGAAAGATCTGTGAGATCAACATGAATTGATATACGATAACACTTGCAATGAATTTGGTGAAATTTAATAAGCAGAAAATCGCATTAGTGATATGATTAAAAACGACATCGGAGATTTCTTTCGTTTTTCTTGTCTCGTTTTCGTTTGATTTTTCTCTACTCTATTTTTCCTCAGCGGCTGCGATTGCACTTGTTTATGTATTCTGTGTAAATCACGAAATGAAATGAAGTTTATTTAGTATATTATTAAAATGTACTTTAAATAATATTTGCATTTTCGTCCTCAGGTTTGCTACGTTATAATCTTGTGTTTTTTTAAATGTAAGTACTATATGTAGAGTTAAATTTATATACATACATTTATATATATCTACATACGTACATAGATTTGTACTCTTAAATATATACACAAAAAGTGGGCAGGGTAGATTGCGCAGTTCTCATCTCGAATAGTTTAATGAAGACAAAACCAGTCAGAATATGGAAAATAAGAAAAACATTGAAAGCTATTTTACTGGAAACTTAAAAAATGCAACACGGATCATATTCAGTGTCAGGATAATGAAAAGATTCAATACCGGGGTTAGCCAAAAATCGCGACAATGTGGTCGTTAAAGTAAAATAGGCAAAACAAATATCCTTATAGAAAACATTGCTTGTTTTGGGTGCGGAAAATTGCACTCGACTACATGCCAACCTTCTATAACGAACCTTGTTTCCTGAAATGTAAATAGAAGCAGGCGTATTCGTGTAAACTCCTACATAATCGTAGAAAGAAAATGAATCGTATGTAGTCCCTTCAAAGACCCGAAGAATAAATAGCATGCACAAACCCATCAAAAGTTCTATAACTATCGCATCATGACTACATGTTTTAGTCGTCAAACTGCCGGGCCTGTAAGTGGTAGTACACTTGACGAGTAGACACCCAGAATATAATTTAGGTAGGCCTTCTTAAGTAAAGCCATTCTAAGAGGCCTACCCAAGAAGGGCTGAAAAAAGAGCTCCCTTGCATACCTTCTAGAAGGGCTTATCCGTTTGCAATTTACGCGAATGCATTACAAATGAGTTTCAGTAAACATTTTAAGTTGCAATAACACATATTTGATATAAACCTTAACAGATACTTCAAAGATGTATGATTTTTATCAATTAAAGAAGCAACTTTAAAAGAACTCCTCCGAAAGGCCTTCTGAAGTATGCGCTATAAAAGCGAGGGTTAATAAAAAGTTAAAG